TTTTAACATTTCACTCTTCTTCCTTCTGATTCATCCTTTCGGGAATACAATATACGGCAACCAAAAGCGCAGCATGAATGTATATGGATATTGGTTGTAGAAACTGAAAAAGGCTCCCGCGATTAGTCGTGGTCTTTTATTACTGAGAGAACCCGAAGGACCACATCTTTACACATTACATCTGACTCTCGGTTTGAGTATTTAGTCAAGCAATGTTCAGTAGTCGACTCGATAGACCGTTTCCTTATTCCCAGCTTGGAGAAATGTACGATGACAAAGATCAACAATTGTACAGCCTCTGACAATCTCAGGATTGGTGTTTATCATAATTAAACAGAAAGTATTCATGGAAAAATAAGTGTAACTAAACAAAACTGAATTAGGTAGAATAAAAGAAATGGACAACTTAAGATGAAAGAAGCTATCAACCAGGTAATTACTCAAAAGATTATTCAATTACCTTCCAAGTTTCCAGACATTGATTCATCATAGAATACGAGGGGAAAAATACCAACAGTCCAGAAGGTACGATCGGCATGATATCCACTGAAAAAGAGCCATATTGAAAGTTGGATTGATAGAGCCTCATATGTAGAAGGGTGGTGTACATTTTTCAACATTTCCGTCCAGAAAACTAAGCCAAAATCAAGAAAAACCGTTCGGTTAGAAACAGAGTTTCTATGAACAAACACTACTTTTACGAGGATGACCAGTGCTGTGTAAGGACGTCTGTCTGCAAGAGGTATGACAGTAAACTTCAGAAGGCTCAAAACGGAAAAGGATTTCATCGGAAAGGTCTGATATAACAATATGTGTGTAGACAGACAGTCCATTGAAGGGAATTTCTTTGTAAAAACCGAATGACAAAAAAGTTAAAGAATTCATTCGAAAGAGAACGAACGATAGAAATAGGTTTTAACTGCAGACCATGATGTGTATGATATCAGGGGACAGAGACCCATCGTTCAGTTAAGAGATGGGACACTTTAATCCACGGTGAATAACACAGAGACTCACTAAGATGGACATTGCGCTGAGCGAACTTGAAAGGTGAATTTCTTAAAATAAGGTTTTTAATAAGATCACAGCCCACGGCAAAGCATTGACCACCAATGTCCAAGATTTATTAAGGGGCCAACAATGTTCAATGATGGTGTCACGATACAGAACAACTCCGTTGACCGAAGGAGATTCGTATGTATCTTAGATGGTCTGAAATATTAACGATAATGCACACATTCATGAGCCCCTTCATCCACCAACAAACTTTGGTAACAGAAAGCTTTCCTGTCAACCGGCTCAGTACCAGGTCTAACCCAGCAGGGCCTTATGTGGTTCGGCACTTCAAGTCCTAGGGGTTAGGTTATATATATATATATATATATATATCAGGGTACAATAACGATTTGCATGTGGGCCGAATACTGCCAAGTTGCCAAGGCCAAGGCAGGTGAATTTTCTTGAGGAATCCACAACCGGAGCCCTTGGCTAGCCAAAGCCTGACACACAAGGCAGCGGGGCGGAGTACGAAAGCCGCAGTCCATTGGGAGCCGGCGTCCAGTTAATCGAATCATACCCCTTTCGGACGGGGTCAAACGTCCAAGGTGCCCAACACACCTCGATGCCCAATCGACCTGGCGAACACTGCCACAACCAGAAGGGTGTGTGGTTCATACGCCTCCTCTTGGTGGGTCTGGAATCAGGCTTTTAGTCAACTCTCCTAGGTGAACTGCCAGTCGTCCAGCAACCTGGTTATAGCCCCGGATGTCGATCTTTTTGTCCTTTCATTTTGGTGCAAAAACACCTCCGCCACGAGAAGGCAGTGAGTAGGACTTCTTCAGCAAAGGCTATTCGAGACGCCCGGGGGCACTTTGTGAAGGAGTGACCAGCCGCAACCCTGAACACCCACCCCCGACCATACTGAGGCTTTGGATTTTCGTGATAAAAAAGCCAAACGATCCTATGGACACTTGATCAGCCTAAGAACTACTGATCTCATAGAAAAATAATAATGGGTACCATGCATGGCACATACCTACGCATACATGTGCACACAACGTTTTATAGTGAGTACCGTTATTCTGGAATGTTCTCTGAGATTCAATCAGCGCTGCGAACACGATGATACACATAATCTTATCGGTCCTATGTCCTTACGGAATTTATATGTATATATATATATATATGGTTGTGATTCCTAGGGAAGCGCTCCTTCGAGGATCAAAGTGAAACAGCTATGTTCGGAGGCATTCTCGGATTCTAAGTTTTGGAATGGTCTGAGTGAAAAATGCATTCAAAAGACGTGTCACTGGAAAATTACGGATCCTTAGACCTAATATCTAAACTTTGCAATCTCCAATGTGCTGTCACGCCTTAGCAGACTGAAATTTCTCGGTAACTTGGTTTCGATAGCTATACGCACGATATAGGCAGAACGTGCCTACGGGCAGCAAAACGAAATCCAATATAGTAGCAATGTTTATCGACAGTGGTAATAATCGTGGTTCTAAAGTCATACAGCAATAATAAAGTATAAAAAGTGACTTACAGCTAGGTGAGCAACGAAATTACAGGGCAGCAGTAACAGTTCGTGACAGCAATGGTTGGAACAAGGTCTGCCCGACAGACAGCTAAGAGTAACAGTAGCGCAGCAGTGAAATTCAAATGGGGAGAGGTTCCGGTACGGTATAGAAAGGGCTTACAATACACTTTAGTTCCGGAATAAAATGACAGAAGGAAATTACAATGGATTGGGGTGAAACGTAGTAAACGCTAGCAAGTTGGAATGCGATACAAAGAGGCGGTGTTGATCGAAGGTATGCGTATCAGAGGGTAGTATTAACAAAGACAGTAAACAGTCAGCCGGGAAGTGCGTGTGTTGTAGGGGTACGTCAGTATCGGCTATGGGGTGGCGGGTCGTTCGAGCCCAGCTGGCGGTAGGTTTTTACTCGTAGATCAAGCGATCAGAAAAGTTTTATGCCAATGACAAAACGCGACCTTATGAATAAACAGTTAAAAATCACAGCATTAAAGGTCCAGTAAATATGCTAGCAGAATATATAAATTTCACGAATATAGACGCCGTGGGATGTATAAGAAACGAAAGTCTCATTGTCCAGAAAGTAAACACCGTATGCTACTCATGAGTAGTCTAATGGACACCGGGGAAGAAACATCTAACTACGAGTAGTAATTAACACCCAACTGAATTAGACGGTAGATTGCTATGGCACTGTATAGCTCGATGCCAAGAATGTCTCATTGGTGCCATATAGGAATCACCAAAACTAGTCAGGGTTACCGATTATTATAGGTAAATAGCAGGTAATGCGAGGCTCATTAATTTTACAAGACACATTATTAAGGCAAAACAAAACAAACTGATGGGCGAAAACACCAACAAAGAACGTAAGGTGCATCAATTATTCGTCACGTGACCACTCAGGTACAACTTATTATCATTGATGTACTGAATATCTCATATACGGGAAAAGCAAAAAGGTAAGTTTTGTTTTCTTTTGTTTCAGGAGAGAAGAGTGGATGAGAGCCAGGACAACAAGCTCGTGATTTAACGTTCTTTATATATTTACTCGCTTGAGGATAAACCAACTACTGCATTTATCGCCGCCATTGTCATTGCGGAGTAGAAAACAATAAACTTTGGAAATCAATGTCGTAGTCTCAACATGTGACTCCGAAGGCCTCAGTATGGCCGACAGTGGGTGTCGCGGGTTGCGGCTGGTTTCTCCTCCCTTGCACCTCGCGAAATGCCCCCATACAAAAAAAGCGTCTCAAATAGCTTCTGCTGAGGAAGCTCCACTCACTCACTGCCTTCTCGTGGCAGAGGTTTTGTTTCCACCACAGTGACACGATGAAAAACCAACATCCGGGGCTATAACCGGGTCGGTGAACCACTGGCAGTTCACTTAGGGCAGTTGCCTACACACCGGGGTGCCAAATCAACCAAGACGAGGCGTGCTAACCGCACCCACATTTTCCTGGTAGCGGTAGTGGTCACCGGCTTGATTGGGTATGGAGGTGTACTGGGTATCCTGGGCGTTTGAGCCCGTCCAAAGGGCGTATAGCACCGGCCCCCAATGTACTGCCGTTTCCATACGCCATTTCTCTGCCCTGGAGATTAGGATTTATTAGCCGAAGGCTCCGGTTGTGAATTCCCCAAGAAAATTCACCTGTCTGGACTTGGGCAACCTGGCACGATCGCATTCACAAGTTGAAGGAAACCACGTGATGACTTAGAAACGAGGCATAAAGAAATGTACGGTGTGACTGAGTAGAGTAGATATTTCCCGTCTTCGAAGTTGGAATTCAAAAGGCTCCGCAACTGGTGGGTTGGAGAAAGCGAAGTAAACGGCAGTGAACGGACAGCATTGACATTCGTTTTGTCATTCCCTATGAGGTCAGAATGCAGGTATGTAGGCACAGTTAAGTTGTGCAATCTGCGCATTGACCACAGAGGTTCAAATTTTTTGCCTCCGTCCAATTAGGCCCAAGCATGGCAGGAGATTGACTGCAATTGATCACATTATTCTTCATCTTGCCTTCAAAGGACAGACCATATTTGGAAGGTTATTGCGAAATCATAAACACACACATATATATATATATATGTATATATGTATATATATACAGTGGCGTCGTGTCCACGGAAGACGATGTGTGCAATGAAAAGCTAGAACCATACAGTGAATTTCGTCGTGTACAGAACAAATTGAGAATGTACTGAAAAGCTAGTAAGGTAAGAGATTATTACAGAAATTCTATCCACGTAAAACAAGAAGAAACGGTGGTGGCAGTGATCACTCGATTCTTTTGCACAGAATTCAGTGTGAACCAAAATTCCAAGTTTCAATTGTGAAAGGATCGGTGCTATCCAAGTGGCCTCGTAGCTCAGCCATCCAAAAGTGTACGCGGCTGCCACGCGTGGATTGGAATCCCACCGAGGTCACCGAACTTTTCAAAATTCAAACATGATACTGAAATCTGCAAAACCACACAATTTGAACAAAAATTCTAAGCTCTGACACGTACGCAAAGTGAGTCCGAGTGAAGCACGAGACTCTTGCTTTTCCCGGGAGGCATAAGTGGAGCTGAGCGCCTGACCGTCAGAGCCCCGAGTTAAAATTGTGACACGCACTTGGTCCGGTTTGATAACGTGTGGATTTTTCAGTTGAACGTCGAATTTCCTGCGTTACGAAGAGGACGGAAGAAATCAATAACAAAAAACTGTACTGTTCATATAAATGAAAAACGATTTGCATCGAATAAGTTTCCTATCTAAATGTGCTCATTCGCACAACTCTAAAACACCTGAAAATACGAGAGAACGACCAAAATAGAACAAACACCTTGAAAAGTATGCAAAATATGTCGGGGTGCAAGCACGAGCAAGACGCTACAACCAATAGATAAACGTGCGCATTGGGTATTCAACTGAACAAAGGAATCATTAGGACTCACATGCGCAATTCTGCTTCAATCGGTTCCACTGGATAGAGAGTCCCGCTGGTGAGAATGACGCAACGAACCCGTTCCCGGACCAAGTCCTGCATTGCGCTGAAACAAATGGCAGACTTATTTGTGAGTAGCAAGATCTTAGTGGGATTCGGATCGGAAACCAGTGACTACAGAATCCGTTCGCATATATATATCCAATCTTTACAGATACGGCACCAAAATAACTATGGGTTAACGAAAAATATCGGTACAGAAGTGAGGAAAACAAAACAGTCAACTTGATGGAATGGCAATTTTTTGTTTCTTTACTGCGAACCATTTTGACTTTTTCATGTTTTTTTTATTTTTCGCATCGCACACAGGAAAGGATGCAATCACGTCGGTGATTTCAGTTCCATGCCACATCCCGCAATGTCTCTGGCCAAAGACAATCTGAATCTTTCGGGCTCCAGCCAGGGAGCCGGGAAACCCAACTGAAACCAGATCCGAGCACAATCTCCTTAACTCTCTGCGCAACGTCATACCCTGCCCATAATCTTGTTTTTTCCAGACAGGACCGATGTCTGCGAATAGCGAGCGGTGTGGCAGACTTGGCTGAGGCATTCGAAGGACGTGCCCTATCCACCTAAGACGATGCTGTGAATTTTTTTTGTTCAACAGAAGACCATCTGACCCTAGTACCTGTCGTCTGACCTAATCGTGATTCACGGGATGTTCCCACCATACGCCGGCGAAGTGGCGCAGACAACAGTTGTCGAATACGTGATTTGCTAGGAGAGGCCAGGTTTCACAATCATGGAGCAACACGGTGTTCCGCTGAGTAAAACACTCGCCTTTTCAGTTAAAGGGATATGTCGCGCCGACGCCAGAGATGCCGTAGATGCCGTTGATCTAGCTTTGATCACCTCCGCCAGCGGTTGTGCAGACAAAGGTTTCGGTTATTTGCATACGCCTTAACCTTCCTCGAGATCTGGTGGTGGAGTGCTTTTAGAAGCTGAACATACTTCTCGGTATTCCGTATGTCCGCAAATAGTTCCACAATGCCGATCGATTGAGTCGAAGGTCGATCTGATGTCTAAAAACACGACAATAGTTTGCCGTTCGCATGTGTGGCAGTGTTCTAGTAGTTGGCGCGGAATGAAGATAGGGTCTATGCAACCTCGGCATGCACGAAACCCGGCCTGCTCCGCGCGGATTTTTTTTTTCAGGAAATGGGCTTAATCTGCGCAATTAAAACGGACGCTAGCAGCTTCGGCGCTATTGGAATCAGGCTCATGCCCCTATGGTTGGAACAGGCGTTGCGACAGCCCTTCTTGTAGATGGGTATAGCAATCGATTCTCCTCATGTGTGGGGTACACCTTCGGTTTCCCAGATATTCGAGAACGGTTTCACAAGTTCTCTCACGAGAGATTCTCTATCATTTTTAAAGAGAACCGGTGGCAGGCCGTCTGATCCAGCTGCTTTGTGCCGTTTCAGGGCTTGGAGTTCCTTTCGTATCTCCGCCTCTGTGGGCGGTTCCGTGGATAGTGACCGGGATGAACCCTCAAGAGAACTGCTTGGGGCAGCCAGCGCGGGGGGCTGGTTGAACTGCGATGTGAAGTGCTCCGCCCAGCGTTCCAATCATCGGTGAAGGCTGTTTATTAGCGTGCCGTCTACTTCGCAGATTGTTTCACTAACGCGCTGTCTTTTGGGGCCTGTAGCACGGATGGACTGGGATGGTTGCCGGNATTCTATCTCCTTTGCACGTAGCGTCCACCAGCTCTCTCTGTCGTCTCTCAAACTATTTGTGAGTTCACGCTTCAGGGAGATGCACTGTTCATTGTACTCGCGGTCTGCCAGATTTGCCCGACGAGCGTCGAGGAGTCTGAGAGAGACGAAGGAGACACAGTGATTTACAACTTGGCGGGTTAAGCCACAACTGTGTAAACCAGCTGAGTGCATTGCGTTTTGAATGGCTGTCTTTTGTAGATCTACGCTACGCTAATAGCTAATATATAGAATGCCTCCGAAATCCTCAGTATGGTCGGGGGTGGGTGTATAGAAATGGGGCTGGTCACCCTTCCTTTGTACCTAGCGAAATGCTCTCATACGACCAAGCGTCTCAAATAGCCTCTGCCAAGAAAGAGGAAGCTCAACGCTAGTGTTCGCTCGGTAATTAGTGGTTTTCGCAGGACATCGTCTATGGCAAAGTTGAAGAGCAACAGAATTTCAGGGCAACCGTGTCGCACCCCACTGGTAACAGTAAGTGAGAATGAAAGTTCACCGTGCTGGTCACCCTTCCCTTGCACCTCGCGAAATGCCCCATACGAGCGTCTCGAATAGCCTTTGCTGAAGAAGCCCTACTCACTGCCTTCTCGTGGCGGAGGTGTTTTTGCACCAAAATGAAAGGACAAAAAAACCGACATCCGGGGCTATAACCAGGTTGCTGGACGACTGGCAGTTCACCTAGGAGAGTTGACTAAAAGCCTGATTCCAGACCCACCAAGAGGAGGCGTACGAACCACGCCCACACCTTTCCGG